TTTATGTATCGATAAGTTATAACATTTATTATTTCTTGTAACAAATTTTAAAGCAACAATGCGAGTTTAGCAACATTTACTGGGATTTTAATAGTTTTATAATGAGAGAAGTAAATTTTATAGGTATTTTATTGGCTGGTTTTTGAGGAATAAAATTCGTCGGACGCTGCAGGGGCTATCAAGATTCAGATAAAACGCGAGGTTGCGAGATTTCTGGAAATTATAAAACCGAAATTTATTGCCTTGTTAATAACCACCCGACCGCAAACAATGTACGACTTAAGTCGGGTTTTTAGTATACTTCGAATCGGGCGACACCGTAATTTCGTGGGCAGCCTGCGATTTCGGAAACGGCCCCTTGGAGAAATTCTAGTAATTTCTCGCTTGTACCTTGTGATTTGGTGTCTATCGACGCGGCCCCGCCGACAAGACAATAATAAAACCCCGATGAAGAAGAAAAAAAAGGTCCGGCCACTTTTGCGGAAATCGAAGGAGGTCTTTAATGGCCGCAGAGGTCGATTTATGACCGCCATACTTTCTACTTCTTCTAACGAACTCCCCATTGATTTATTGTCTTTAACAGACCGTTCCAATTTCTTACATAAACCAATTAAAATTATTATAGATATTAATAGTAATTTCCTGGTATGGTAAATATTCTTTATAATGATCTTAAATTCAACCATTTATAAACCACTTAACACCAACAGCAAGCATTAATTATCTCAAACTATAACAATATTTATTTATCAATTAAACAAGCGAAAGTAAACGATCAAACAAAACCGTTCCTCGCATATCCGCCAGTTTCACTCCAGAATCGTCATTAATTACGCTTCCTCTAGTAGATTTCGCATTGCGATAATAATCATCGGTTGTCTGCGGTTAGCCGCGACCCGACTGCTCCGCCGGTTCTTGTTCTCCAAGGCCGCGCTGCGGTGCCCACCCCATTAAGAAGATAATAACAGCTCCGGAATATCTCCCTATAATTGCCACACTCGCAAAACTTAATCTCCTAAACACGATATTGCATGCTCGGATATTACCGCACATTGCAACAATCTGCTCGAAGGAAAATGATGATGTGAGCCTTGTTTCGGGCTTATTTGCGTCGTGTAGCGGGGCTTGTTATTGTCTGCGAGTTTAATGCGAAGAAGGAGCGAATGACAGTGTCTCGAGTCAATCATAGTCAAACCGGCGTGGATGGAAATTTGATGTTTCTGGAACTGATGTAGAGGTTTGTTGAAGGTGTTGAAAATTTCTGGGACGAGCTGTATAAATCGAGGTTGGATTGAATTAACTTAGCAGAAAAAAAAAACCGGCTGGTATTGAGATCAAAATGCATCGGTATTATTAATAACGCGGTCAAAGCAATACCGAATCGATGTTTTTGACGTTCAGTCGTCGCTTCGGAATCAACGCATCATAGGCAATGAAATGCATTTAAATTATGGAATTTATTAATACAAAATAGACGTTGCTCGGAGGTGAATGCAAATCACTAAATCAGAATGGATTAATTTGTCAACTATGTACGCCAGGAAATTATGGTCTGTCAATGATCGAGCTTCCGGCAAAATGCATATTTGCCAATTAATACGTCCCTATACCGTCAAGTGCACCGGGGTTTCACATATAAAAAGCATTGCTAACACTCGAAACTTTGCTCTTTTTAATTTATTTATAAAATCAATTAGATGATTAAAAACTGTTTTTCACAAATACCTACTACCTACTATTATAAAAGAATATCCAAAGTATAACAAAAATAAAATTTAATTAACATCAGTGCTATTATTTCAGTGGTATTTTCAGTGTCAATTAAAATGTAAAATTTGATTAGCCCTCCAGTCTTGGGCATCACGTGCGCTTCGGTAATTTTTACCCTTTTTAAAATACAACAATGGTTGTCAGGGCGATGCGTTTCCCACCACTTATTTCTCATTGTGGCCTGACGGTGTGAAGTGGCTTCAGACATGTCCTTTGCGATCCCCGAGCTAATAGATATGCTTTTTAAAAAGGGTCTTATTAAAATTTCCGAGCAGCTGGCGATGAATAGGATGCAAATTAGTCCTATTTTCGAAGCCCTCTCCGGTGCTACGTGGCAGGCAATCACTGAGAGAACGATCTAGTTTTTTTTTTAGGTGTTTATCATTTGAAAGGTCGTAATTGATTTTCGTTCTGATGAGGATCAAATTGAATATTGAACTATTAACTAGCCCTAATTTCATTTTGTTACTAGAGAGATTTTTGAGATATTTTCTCCTTCTGAGGTTTATCCAGACTATCCAGTGAAGCAGGTTCTGATCTAATCATTAAGTAGAGGTACTGGGAATTTAGGAACATTCTTTTGAAGCATATTATAAATCGCAAATGTGCTGAAAGAGCAGAAATATGTGTGGAAATAGAACGTAAAATTCTCTTTGAATATTGAACTCTTAACTAGCTCTAATTTCATTTTGTTACTAAAGAGATTTTTAAGATATTTTCTCCTTGTGAGGTTTATCCAGACTATCCAGTGAAGCAGGTTCTGATCTAATCATTAAGTAGAGGTACTGGGAATTTAGGAACATTCTTTTGAAGCATATTATAAATCGCAAATGTGCTGAAAGAGCAGAAATATGTGTGGATATAAAACGTAAAATTCTCTGGCTCTGCGACTATGTGAAATGGGCGAATCCCCTTCTAAACTCGATTATTTGTTTTCTTCGTTTGGCGATTATTTAACGGCCCGTCTGTCATATAAACAGGCCCCGTCGAGCCGGAGTCATAAATTTCAGAAATCAGATTTTATGGGGTAAGTAATATAGAGAACGAACGTCGGACAGTAATGGTAAAGCAGACATGACTTTGATAAATGAAGCTAAGTGTTTAATAGACTAATCGATATAATGCTAGCGTGTGGTTTGAGTGGCAGCCCCACTAATTATTGTCGGTCTTTCGGCTCCGACGGACTGACGCGACCACCGAGAGCTCTTATATACAGGACGAAACGGCGCGGAGAGGTCCAGACAATCACCATATCAATTTAGATACTTGTCAAGTTAATTTAAACCTTGTTCATGTCATTTACAATTTTGTTGAAATTAACATGTCGCTTGATTGGTTTTGTGATATAAAATTGATTTGTTTATCGACACGTAAAAGGCCAAAGTTTTTTTAATGGAATTAACATTATTATTCTAACCACAAGAATCCACAAGATCGTTTCTTTCGTGGTGAAGTAATTTATAGAGATTGTTTAGGTAATAACGATGATGCTATTAAAAAAACCTTATGGTTATGGTATGAGAAATGAACAGTTAGTTAATAATTAAAGCGGTCGAGCGTTAATAACATAAATAATCGATAAATTCAATTAAGTTATAAATAAGAAGAAAACAGGTCCGTTGGTAATTTTCAACACGTACGAGTTTAGTATAGAAGGTCGGAACGGCAGCCCGCAATCCGACAAGCATCTTCCTTCGTGTAAGAACGCCTTATAACCGCTTGCTCTTATTACATGTTACACGGATGTAATGTCCATAAATCAGCGGCCATGCGGGAAAGTTTCATATGAAGCAATGCAAAACAGCGTAATAAAACGCGTTAAGCGCATATTTATAGTTCAAGCGCTGGTGTCGTGATTAACTTCGGCTCATTATTCAAACTGAATAAACTGCGTCCTGTTGCTATCGGCCGTAACAAATAGCGAACGAGCAGATTAGCAGTGCCACTGCGAATGCCCACGTAAACACCACCTTCGGGTGAATAATCGCCTGAAGATGATACCGATGAAATACCGGTGCATTGTTGGTGAGGAGAGAGAGCCAAATCGCTTTGGATATTCGGATTGTCTGCACGCTCATTATGTCTTCCTCGCACGCGAATCCGTCTAATTGGTTTTTTTTTTCAATTCCATGATTTCCTTCGGCGAACAATGCAGGGAATTGTTTAAATGCAAGGACTATGTAAATTCGTATGCGGGATTCTTTGAATGTTTCACGAAATAGCTAGGTAAATATTTTAGTATAATAACAGTGATGTATGAAATGATACTAATTAACGTACACATAAAAATCCGCGAGTCGCGCATTATAATTTCATAAATGCACCCTTGTTGTCGCTACACCTACGTGGAAAAAAATGCGCTAGCCATAAATTACCATTGTAATTTATGTTTAACGGTTTGATTATATGCATATTATAATTAATTTCTGGTTGCAAAGTAATTGGTGTTGGCAGAAAGGCAGCCGTTGAAGCATATCTTTAAAAGTTTAACGATGGCGGACTTCTTCGAGCAAAAATAGCATTCACCTTGTCAGAGGAAACCTAAATTACCGTCCATAAAAACATGTTGCAAACATAATTTATTTTACTACGCTATAAAATGAAAGAAAATAACTATCAAAATAAGTTATGACCGACGATAATTTATTCGATAATAAAAACTATAAAATATACAGACATTTAACCTTTGCTTGAAATTAACTATAGAAAGTTTTACTATAAATCTCTTCTGTAGTAGCTAAGTAGTTATAGACTAATAGAAATGCCAACTCGAATAGATATAAATTACCTTAATGTATGGTAAACATTCATATATGTGAGCGCAAGAATCATAAATATGTCACTACTGTTGTCAGTTAAATGCCTATTAATGTGTTCTTGAGAAACTCGAAAGAGTCGGGAATGTTTTTTTTCTACACGTCATCACATACATAAGACTCCCTATCCACTTAAACGAGACCGACAGAGACAGCTGTCGACACTACGAAAAATATATTAGTCGTTTTGCGGATTATATTTAGCAGCTGTCGCAGCCGATCTATTTTAGGATTAGATTGATTGCTCCACTCAACTACACTCAATACTTTAGTTAGCTCCATCTTTTCTATTGGTACTTTCCCCCTAAGGAAATTGGTTCTATACCTACTTATCTCTATTCGTTAGTAGAATATTTTGGGAAAGAAATAAAAGTCAAATTTTCTTAGTTATTAAATATTTTTAATATAGTTTTGTAAAAGACAAAAAAATGAAACAGTAATTACATCAAAATTTAACAATATAAAATATAAAGTATTCAACTAAAATTACACATGTTGTTTGTTAGAACTCGATTCGTGATTATGTAATAATTACAATTAACAATTGTTTCAGTTCTTAAAAAAAACAAATTAGAAACAACTAAAACGTATTAGGCAAATTAAAATAAATTCAGTCTAATATAAAGTTACATTTTATTTTAAACGGAACAAACCAGGTGGATATTTAAGGACGAAATTTTTATAATTTTATATGCTAAAAATATAGATTTTTTTTCGAGAAATTTCTTATGATCCGAGTACAAAAGAAATGCAATAAAAATTCGAATTTTGAGCAAAAAAATTAACAATAAATTATATCTTCTTACTGAGATCTGTACATAAATATATACACATTCAAAAATTTGGAATTTTTCCTACCCGCTCGGTAGATGCGATATTCAATACTATAGGATTGTTCCAACTGTACAGAAAAACGTACAATGTACGGTCATCGTCATGCGCAGTAAATAAAATCCGTTCCGTTAAGTCGTTAATCGGAACAAATAATTCGACTGCGCATGACGATGACCGTACGATGTTCTGTTCAGTTGGAACAAACCTGATATATACATACAATTTGTGATTAGAGTTGACGCTACAAATTAATTAAATACGTAGAGTAATTCTCAATTAGCTACCACAATAACCCACTTTTGTTCCGAATTAGAAACAACATACGAGGGCGTTAATTTGCGGCGCCAACTCCTTATAGATGTCACTCGAGAATGTATTATAAATAATATCACACTGTCACGTCCACACAATAATACACCGGGTGAAACGAAAAATATAATAAGGTGAGACTAGGGAAAGTCCATAACACAGCAACATTATTTGGCTTAGAAATTTTCCGTCTTACTGCGGCATTCCGGGCGCCGCGCCGAGCCTCGGCCCGTACAGCGAGTACGGCGACAGATACGGCGATAAGCCGGGATGTCCTAGCGGGAAACCCGGCAACGATGAGGAACTAAAAGACGGCGGCAGCAAGGATTGTTTACCATAAGGATGATATCTAGCCGTTGCCAAAGGACTAAGCGGTGGCGTGGGATATGTTCTGTGCAACAAGGGATGCGTGGGAGGTAGCCCGGGTGAACTCAGCATGGACAAAGCGGCACCCGTATCCGATATAGCGCCGCTGGTATGAGTCCGTAAATGAGTCAGTAACTCCTCCGAACTAGAGAACCGTTTGCCGCAGTAGGCAGCGTCGCCCGATATCCAATTGCAGACGTAAGGTAGATGGGAAGCGGCGGCGAGCGCCGCCAATTGTGCGTGAGCGTACGCCGCTGCGGCGGGACTGTGGCTCATGTAGCTCGCGGTCGTGGGCGGTTTAGAATGATCACATTGCGTGCATCCGGCCGGACATGTCTTGACAGCACTCGAGGCACCCAACAAATGAGAACTAACACTACATCCTGTACAATAGGGATCTCTGCACAAAGAGTCTTGGCTTTTTAATCGACCGTAGCCGATGTACGGAACTAGACCGGTGCCTTTCAATGCGTTGTGTTGGTTCATTAACGTGCTGGCCATTAGGTCCATTCCTAACGTGAACGATGGCGACGGGTAGCCGAGAAACGGCGAAGTCGTCGGCGGAACGCCCGGCTTGAACGTTCCTAATGGTAGATCTTTAATGGCTGGATCGGAGGAGGACGTTAAAATGTTCGGAGTAAAAGCCGTTTTGGACGCGGACGATGAAGGCGTCTGAGGACTGGTCCTTTCGCCCGACTTCTCCGGGCTCGTCGTTCTTTCGCTACCGTTTTCCACGTTGCTCTTTAACTCGCTCGGAGAAGACCTCGGCGACGAGCTGATGTTGCTCGAACACCTACCGTTGGACAACGTCTTCGAGGCCACGGGAGTTCGCACGCGATTCGCCGAGTTGGCCCGCTCCTCGGGCGTCTTCGACTTCTCCCGTCCATCGCCCTTCGAAGCGCTTTTGTGGGGCTGCTCGTTTTTATCCTTGTGGATGTCACTCTTCGACGATTTGCTCGACTTCTCGCTGGACTGCAATAGCTTCGCGTTCGGCGTGTCAGCGCCTATTTGACTGCAAGTTTGAGCCAGCAAAGCCAAGGGACTCTTCTTGGCGTCCAACTGAAACAAAACAGTTACCTCGTTACTATTTGTTCCATCTTACTGCAATTACTTAATATTCGAAATGTTTGATGTATTATTACAATGGTTGAGTGGAGATTAGGATCGGATTTTGATAGAATAGAATGGTTATATTGAAGTGTTTTTGTTTATGTTTATAAACGAAAATTGATTGTGTATTTATTAAATATTGATGGTATCAAAGCATGCTATCTGTCATCATGTCATCAAAATAGGTATATGAATTTATGGAAATGCTATCCAGTTGTGGCAGTTATGTTAGAATTGATGCGTGTTTGAATTCAATGGAGCATATGGAAATTATCTATCAATATCTTACACGATTTTGATAAATTTACTAATACGAGTAGTATTGCTACATGCATTAATAAAATTTGATGGATAATAAAATGGTTAAAAAATAAGGTTTAGTAGACAAATTATTATAATAGTATATAATAAACTTACCGTGGTAGGTAGTGGTGTAAGGTATTCCGGCCTTAAATATTGATTAGAAGAGGTCAACATAATGCCACGATAAATTCCATAAAGCTCGCAAACAGAATGTCGCACCGTATACGAGAAACAGTTCGCCTGTCGAATAAACACAATAAACGCACCGCGCGACTATGTTGGCATGACTGGACTGAACGGCGGCGCGGTGGAAAACTGAAAACCGAAAGCAGAAGCGTTCCGTGCGAGCGACAAGCGCTCTCCGGTGTCGGGTGACGTCACGTTCGTATTGTTCCGTCCCCTCCGCGTTCTGAGCTTTGACACCCTCGACCGCAGATCACCGTGTTATTGCTTCTTCTATTTAGTTGTCGACACTCTTCGGCGCTTCCATTGCTCTTTCTCGAATCCGGCCCGGGAGGAACATATGTTTGCGGCTAGCGAGGGATTTCGCGTTTCGCGTTTTAATCCCCAAGTTTCTGGTAATTCACACGGTAATTCGAAATAGCTGTTAAATAACGTTTTATCTTTAATCACTTTAATAGTCGTCTCGATTGATGAGTGCAGGTGAACCAACACCTCAAGCTTTTTGGGTGCAGTTAACGATCTGCCTTATTATAAACTCATTTTTACCCAAAACTAATATTGGTTCATGCCTCCAATATTAGCACCAATCTCATTTGATCTTCGACTCAAAGATGTTTACAGCGAGCAACCGGTTCCCTTCAAACGCCGCCAATAATTGCGAAACGTTCGGAAATCCATTTTCGGTCCAGTCAAAATATATTATGGCGCTGGCCTTTTGTGCCATTCACCGCTCCCTATTCACTACACATAAATCACGATTGATTACCCGACCTGACGTGTCGGGATGTATTATCCACGAGAGCGTAGCCTCTAAATGACGACGGTCAAGAATTCAGCGCCGAACGCTCCGAGAAGACGCCCGGATATGTTTTTATTCGTCGGCATTCGCCGAAAGAAATTGCTCGATTTTGTCTTGTACACATGTTGGTTGGTATTATAGCATATTTTCTGCTTCGACCCATCGAATAATTGTAGCTTGTAAAAGCAATACGTAGAGAAAACATGGTGAGGTAACTCCAACTGCAGTTGCAAAAATTGGAGTATCTATCAACTAGTAGAGGCAACATCTTGAATTAGGAAGAACTGAGAAATGAAAGTTTCCAATTTATTGGAATCCTTTATAATTTTCTTTACCACTAGATACCAACATATAACAAGATCCTTGCTGGATTAACTGGATGATTTATAATTTTTGAACCTTACCTCTTCGCGTTATTTCCATTTTCCTATTTACATTAGTGTTTGCATCGGATTGCACTAATAATTTTGAACGTTATCTCTTCTTTCGTATAATTTATGCTTGGTATATTTACGACTTTTTCTCATTGTTATCCTTGAATAAGAAGCGACGATTTTAGCATTTAGAGGTGACTTATTAACGTTAATATTGGTAGATCGTAAATGGATGTTTCATCGTTTGGCAATTAAGTTATTTTTGGTTTAATTTACAGATGTCATTATCGCTGTGAAATCAGTTAATATAGGCAATAATTGGTGGAAGCGTGAGACGGTCCTACGGTTTCCCATAGATTAAATTATCACCTTGAATAAATTCCGGCTGTAATTTATTCTAGTCGTTTTCAATTTGTTATGAGCTTTTTTCTGAATATTTTGGCAACTCCATCTGAATAGGTATCGTCTTAAGTCGCCACTTGTGAATGCAAATGGACGAATGTGTTATTTTTTACGTTCAATTTGGCCGAAGAAACTAACGGTAATGAATATTTATATGTGAATTATGTTAATGTCGACCAGATAATGGCTAATTAAGACAACGTATATTAGCATTTTTTTCATTCGAAAAGAAATATATTAGAATTTAGTTAACATCGATGATAACGAGCGTATTTATCGTGTAAAAGTCGCCTTGCGACGTGTCAACAGATGGTGATGGATAAATTTTAAAAGGAAGGTCGATAGAATCGTGCTAACCGACATTATATCGCATTGGCCAATAATTATAAATCATCGTCACAAATCCTTTTAGATTTCCATTATAAATTCTCGATAAAACAAATGGACTAAGTGGGGGAGCGAGTTCAAGAGCATGTACAATGAAAAATCAACTTGACACAAACACATTTTTGTTAACGAATAAACCTCACGCTTAATGGAAGATCGGTTAATTTTCGTCCTGGTTCGCTCGGTTTTCGTTCTGCGACCGAATTCGACGAGCTCGTTTTTCACGGTTAATCGAAAGAATAACCGGCCGAAAGGAAGCCAAGGTGCATTGTACGGGCGCGTCGGGAGCCGCCTCAATAGACCAGAAATATTCAGAAAACTCATTTTTTACCGGCCGATATGCGGCTCGAATCGGACGGATCGTCGAGTCATCCCGTGAATTAGGAACGTCGATAATCGAACAACAGAAGATTAACGATTTTTTCGATTTTTCGATTTAATAGCGTCGGAAATAAAAACAGTGGTTATTTTTGAATATAACGCCTCTTGTCCTAAATCTTAAATCCCTAATCAACCAAGTTTAAGATCCAAGCAATTGGTAACAATTGGATATTAAAAAAAATTAAAAAGGGACGCCTGTGTGCGTTTATGGCTTCCACAAAAGAGGGCAAATGCGAGTGTGAGCGAAAGAAGCGACAACGAAAATTTATAGTAAAAACCAGTCGTACTTAGGAGAATATTAACTGTTCGTTGATGCCGGCGCGCCGCGATCACATTCGGGGGATTTCATAAATTTATCTGGGATCTATATGACCCGACTTAATGTAGCTACTGGTTCGCGTCTCGTAATTTTGATTTTCGCATAAGATAAAATAAATTGCGGACAACTTTATTTTAATATAACGCTGATTTATGCCGGCGAGGGATTACCGTTGAATTTTATTTTTATTATGCGCTTTTTTGGGCCGGTATTAACTATCAGTTTATCTCCGTCGTAAAATAAATACCTAGCTTCTTTTATAAGGCGTAATAGACGTTCTTTTTATTACCGTTAATATTTTAATAACGTCCACTAAAAGGTATTAAATTCCTTCAACAAAAGCACCACCTACACTTTACCGAAAGAAAAATTGAACGTATATACCCTCGTATTTCGTTAGATGATCGTGTATTTACGAGGGCGCGTCGATTTGCAGTATAATAAAAACGGTGTTATTGATTATGGTAACAACACCTTCGAGGCGACGCATCCCCCGACATTCAGTAGATCTATCACGAAGCCAATAATTTGTGGTGACAGCCGAGGTTGAAGGAAGATGATGTATTCGCACCGGCAACCCCCACCCCATCAATCTTCATTGCCGGTGTCAACGCTAATCCGCCGGATGGGACACAATCCAATATAATGGCCGGCAACGGGGGCCAGTTACATAAACCCATTGTGTCGCCTCGAAAACCTGACAGTTTCATATTGTTACAGCTGTCAGAGAGATGTTGACAAAGAAACGCCGAACAACCGCCGCCTCCTTGCCCCCGGGTCTTGTCGATTCGGTATTTAGGACCGAGTAAATGCGGTTTGTTAATTCCGGGAACACTTCGAGTGCGTTCTTTAAAGGATTAAGGGTGCTTATTTTTTTAGAAGGGAGATTTAAAGTTTGTTATACGAGGATAATAACTTTTTTCTATTTCGAAGTGCATATAACAAACGATAGTTGACAAGAAACCTAGTCGAGCAAATTATTTTAATTAATTTACTATAGTAACAAGCTTAATAGTAAATGTAAAAACAATACAATGTATTCAAAAGTTTCATAATCATGTTTCATGGACTAATTTTTCCAGTAAGTACTGCTTTAACATAATGTATCACAAAAAAATTCAAACAAATAAGCATTAATACAATAAATTGTACATAATTATCTGTTAAATGGATATTCGGGACATTTTTAATGACCGTACGTCTGTTTAATTAGTCACTTTCTCTGACAACTTCATGTAATATGATAAAGATAATTTATGAACGGTGACATTTCAGTTGCGACCCCGTTATCGTTGACAAGCTATAACTTATGTCGTTTCCGCTGTTTTGGCTTAATAAAAATTCCGAAAAAAAAATCGCGCCTGTCTAATTAGTTGAAAATGATTAATGTTCAGCTAAACTAACATGCTAATGCCTGCCTTCTCGTGTGTAACTGAAGTGCACAAGGTTTTCCGAATAAATAAATCACCGAGTACAAGAGGAATTTTATGGAAATGAAAAATATTCATTATCATCCATCAATCATTAAAACTTCTATTGTAAGCGATACAATTCCACATACTAGTAGCTATGATACGTGCGAATTAACTTTATGGTCTCTATAGCTATCAGTAATCGATCTGTAACTAAATGATTCCCAACGACACTCTTGTTTATGATAACAAAAAAACCAACCCCTCTATTTTTTAACGGGTTTATAACGCAGTGTGAGCTCGGAAAACAAGGTTAGATGTAATTACAAAAATCCCAGACCGGTGGTCCCCATTGCGTTTCCGTGGAAAGCGATCCGATTGTGTCGACGAAACGGGGCCCTTTGTGTTCCCGTTATTGCACGAAGACACGGCCATTTCTAATGCCCGATGATGGAGTAGTTCACTTTGTCATGTGTGCATGACACGGCATTATTTTTATTTGCCTTAGAAATATGACCGGCTCCGCTTGACAGTCGGGCGTTTCAAATAGGGGTTCTCAAATTTTGAGGGAACAATATTTTTCTTCTGCTGCTGGTTTAATGAGCGTAAACAACACTTGCATTTTTACGAATTTATTAGAACTTCCTTATTTCGCGGTTACAGAGTGAAAGTCGATATAAAACACAATTAATAAACGAAAAAAAAAACTTGCGCACAATACGTAACTGCTTTAATAGAATGAATAATTTATGGGTTTGTCACACAAGTTGTTCCTACATATTAATAATGTCGGGTATATATAGAATGGGCGTTATATAGATGACACATCCACACAACAAATGATAGAACACGGTATTTGTTTCTGATTTATATCTCAGATATATTCAGTTGTTCGAAAAGGTACACCGCACACACCATTAATCGTCAGAGTTGGCTTCTGTTCTGAGAGGCAGAAGCCAACAGTGGCGCATCCCAAAAATTTCATCTCCAATAAAATTAATCAATAATCATATAAACTGCACATACCTAAATAATTCATCTGCTTATTAAACG